AAAAAAAAAAAAAAAAAAAAAAAAAAAAAAAAAAAAAAAAAAAAAAAAAAAAGACTCCATCGAAATTATGGTACATTGATGGATGCATTCACTGATATTTTCCACTGGTCTCACAGATCTGAAGCTGTGAAAATGATTTTGGAGACTGGCAAGGACTCTGAATTTTGAATCTGTCACTCTAAAATAATGAGACTGATTTTTTTTTTTAAAGCAGCGCTGCAGAGATCACAGGTTCAATCCATACTAATCTTCAAAGCACCGTAGGAAGACAAATATTTATTCCTGTGATGAAACTACCGCTCAATATGACCGGGGAGTGCTGTCCTCTTTCTGTGACTGCTGTGACCTCATTCAGCATATCGGAAACAGTTTTGGTTTCCTTCGAACCCAAAACACCCATTCTTAGCATAATGTCATCCTAAAGAATTCAGATTTCTAAATCAAAATCATCCTTCAAGGAGCTCCAGATTTTATTTTCAAGAGTGATCATGAGAAAGGAGGCAGAGTAGACACCAACTTCTGCTTCAAATAGATCAATACTTGTCTTGGGTGTGTGTGCTGGGAGGTTATTTTGGTGAAACACAATCACGATGTGTTTTGCCATACTTATTTGACAGCAAATGTTTCTTTAGGCTTATACAATACACGTGTGCTTCATGTAGAATCTGTAGTAGCATGCTATTGACACAGCTAGTCGAATTTAGACAAAAATTATCCTTGAACACATTACACACAGGACGAACTTCTTCATTCCTTACTTTTTTTTTTTTACCATGTTATTCATATCTTTAATATAAATTTTAGAAGACTTCATAACTTTTCTGTTATTTTAAATAACATATTCATCAAGAATTTATAAGGCCAATCTAGATGGAATTATCTAGTCATCAGATTCACTGGACATTGGGAGAACACTGGGGAAACTGCCCTCTTCTGTGCTACAATTTAAAGATGCACATTTAGTGTTGAGGGAAGTCAGTGTTGCTGGGATGCTATACGATGTGATTACCTGAAAGAAATGATGTCTGTGTGATTTGAGTGTGCTCTGGCCATCACCATGGCCAGGTCATTGGCTTCTGATCCACTGTTCACCAAGAAAATGACCTGATGGGGAAAGAAAGACACAAGACTTAGTACTTTTTAGGTTCCCTTCAGGTCAATTTCTGTTTCTGATCACTTCTCCCTCTTAACTACTACATAAATCTTACAGTTCTTCTTTGAACAGCTGCTGAGTGCTAATAAAACTGGCTAAGAGGTTGACTCATTTGTCAAAAGCTGTGCTTTTAGTAGCTTTAATTGATGAGCTACAAAATGGGAAGGTGGGAAGACTTTCTGAGAGGCTCGCAGTGGTCAGGGGCAGATGATATCCATAAATGAGGCTTTTTGGTTCCTGCACCTAGCTCATCCCTCTTGATTCTGAAGGCGTGGAATGAGGCAGAGCCGCAACCTGGCAACCCCAAGGGTTTAATGCTAGTTTGCTGTTGCTGTGTGACTGTGGAAACAAATGCAGCTCGGTCTGAGCAAAACAAGGGGGAGAACTGAAGAGGTCCAGCTCCTCCAGGCGGGAGCAAGGAGGTGGCATTCATGGCTTCTCCAACTGCCCCATTTGTGCTCCGCCATGAAGATCTGGGTCTGAACAGGGATGGCCATTCCAAATTTTTTTCTAATATACATAGTATAATAAATGGAATATTGAGATGATATGGTAAAATAATAACGAAAGCCATGTATTGAACACTAATCTGGGTCTTACACACACACACACACACACACACACACACACACACACACTCATTTAATGCCTGATTTAAATCTTGCTAACATTTTTAGACGTCAGTTCAGTGTCAACTTTAATTCACTTCAGATTTAGAAAAAAATATCTAATTCAGTTAAAACATCTAAGTGCATTTTAGACAAATGTTATTTATACGGAATGGCCTCACTTTTTATAAGAGAACAAAGGAAAATAACTTTTCAGAAACAATGTGGAACACAGAGAAGAAAATCTCTTGGCAACACCAAAGAGCATCTGGAGGACTGGGATCCCTAATAAAAGACTTCTGGAAAGATATAAGGAGGTGACCAAGGAGAGGGAACTCTGGGGCACACATGTGAACATTAGATTGTTTCATCAGCAGCTTAGAGATCCCTTTCTTCAGCGTGAGTGCATTTAGGTATGGCTATCTGCTCACCATGGCAGACTTTCAATGACCAGACCAAAGCCCTTGGGCTCCTAGGTCGCCATCCTTGTGAGCTGGGAGCACCGAACACTCTACCTTAAGAGGCTCAGGGAGAAGCGCTGAAAGTTTCTCTGCGTATTCATGCATTGGAGGGTGGAAGAAGACAGAGCTTGTATGCCACAGGCGGCCCATCTGCTTTTGTGCCACTGCAGTTACCTTCCTGGAGAAACACACAACCAGTCAAGCATACACCACCAGCAGGCTTGTCCTCTCCCCTGGGTCATTGAACCTGGACCCTTGGCTGCTTCTTCAACAGTTTTAGGAGGCAGGATTCACCGGAGCAGCGGTCCGTGGTGACGAGCATTTTGCAATGTTGAAGAGTCATTCTTTAAAGAGTCAGTCCAGCCTTTCGTATCAGAAGGCTCATAATGAAGGCAAGTAGCAACTAAAGGCAGGTAACCATGTGGGGCCCAAGTAAGAAGGCTTTGGGAAGATAGGGAAAGGTGTTGAATTTGATAGGGGCTGGTGTTCGATTCACAATTCTGTTTACTATTAATATCTGATACACATAAAAATTAACCCAGTGGTTGAATAATTTGAGAAATACCAGGCTAAACAAATTCCTCTACTGTGGGACTTGCTAGAGCCTTTGCTTGGCATACGGCTGTTCTTGAAGAAGGAAAGGGGGAGACGTCATAGGGTGTCCTACTCTTATCTTTTCCTGGAACTTTTTCCAAGGAACAACTCCCGTGGTTATCATTCCACAAATCTCACTTAAGAAAATTCTAAAGTGTCCCTTTTTGAAGAGACGAGATCTCTGACAACAGCATTGCTGATAGAAATAAGTCAGAGAGTCACATGACACATAGAATGGAGGGGACACAGATTACTGGTGATGTGGTGTCCGGCTGGGTGGGTAAGGTGGCCTTCCTCTGGAGAGCAGAGGAAGAACTCTGAAAACACTTGTGTTAATGGGAACTGTGGGAAGAGGAAGCCCTAGGACTGCGGAGTTTTTGGTGGAGATTTCGGATCTATGGCATCAGGTTGGCTGCAGGAAATGGAAAAGAGGAAAATTCAAGGGCAGCTTTGACATTCTTGCCTCAAATGCTGGGCAAATTCCAGGAATAACTGAGAGATGCATCAGCTCTCCAGCAGATGGTCCACATGGGTTTCTTGAATAAGTGACTATATGAGTTTAAAAAAAAAAATCGGCTTTGTGGAAAAAAACGGAGTTAGTCTTAGCACATGTTGGGATGGGGGATTCTGCATAGAATTGAGGGATGTGGGGCACCCTTTCTGCATATATCAACTTATTGCTATAGTTTGGTGATGGGCCAAGGCTGGAGATATCAAATTGGATAAAGCTGCTGAAAATATAGCAAAATAAACATGGCAGGAGGGTGTCGGTGAAGGGAATGCGGTGAGATGATGAGAGGAAAGAAGCAGAGAGAAGAAGAGGAACAGAGATAAAGACAGAGCCGGAATACCCATAGTCAGGGTCAGAAGAAGCTGTGCAAAGGTGAATAGTGTGAGGAAGAGCTGTCTACTGCCAGGGACAGGGTCAGTGTTTGGAGGATTCTGCTCACACTGCTCTCTGCTTTCATGAATATTTGTACTCCTTTGTAAGGGGTTTCTGAAATTTAGCTTGGATACTTGGGACTTACATCCCCCCCAAGACAGAAGAGGGAAAGAGTAGGAAGTAGAGAAGAAGGTTGAGCACGGGGGCCCAAGTCATGTCTCCCTTCCTGTCAGTTGCAGGAGAGACCTCTTGGCCCTTGCTTTGATTGGGAGACCTCAACCCATTCAAATGGTTTTGTCTGTACTTTTTCCGTAACATTTTGTATGTGTATATATGCTTATATAAGACACATACATATATTATTGTACATTGTTATATATGCATATTACTAGTACACATACATTATTATATATGTATAAACATTAAGTTTATTCATCAAATTCTTAAGGGCAAAAGGGAATGGATCCTTTACAGCTTAGGAAGCACAAAAGAGGGGGCAGAAAGAGTATTAGAGCCAGAAAACTGGAAGTCAGCTGTAAAGCCGCCTATCCTAGAAATGGCTGCAAAACCAAGACCAGAACAATGGCAATGTTTGCTTTTTCTGGAGTGCAACTGCCTCGCCCCCGGATATAAGGATACTCACGGGTGACAGTGACCAACACTAACAGTTACAATCCCAGAGAAGAAGTCCAGGTATCTGTTTCCTTCCGAATCGAAGAGCCACTCCATGTGTCCCTGGTGGAGCATCAGAGGCTTCTGGAAATATGCTGTTTCCACAGGAGAAATGTGCAGCTTATGAATCTCCCGAGCACGGCTGTAGGGAAGGGACTACAGGCAGACAAGTTAAAATTGGTTTTCTTATTCCTGGGACCTGCAGGATCAAGAGCAGATCAGTATACTAGGGCCTGGTCCCCTTCATGACCTGAACACATGACTCGCTGCTGTATCGGCTTACAAATGGGCACATTATTCTGTATGTCCTGGGAAAATTGAAATATTTTCTGCTTAGTAGGTGACATCATCATTGTGTTCCTTTTTATTTATGATTTTCCCCCTGAAGTATACATGGAAAGGAGAGCTGGAACTCCCATCTCTCAGTAAAAAACCTTGTTTTCAGGTTGATTTTACCATGAAAATAAAAAACCTTGGAAATAAGTGGTTAAAGGGATGCCACTTTTGATGCTGTAGGTTTATGAAAATTAAAAAAAAAAAACAAATGCTGATTATGGTGGCACACACCTTTATTTAATTCTAGCACTTGGGAAGCAGAGGCAGGTGGACCTCTGTGAACTCCAAGTCAGCCAGGGCTACATAGAGAGACCCTGCCTCAACCAAAAACAAAACAAAAAACTAAGTAAATGAGGTGATGATGATGTTGTCTATTGAATCCAGGGCTTTATACATCCTAGGCCAATGCTTTATCACTGAGCTTCAGACCAAAGTTTCCTTTCTCTCTCTGAACATATTTGTGTGTGTGTGTGTGTGTGTGTGTGTGTGTGTGTATGCAGATGCACAGGCATGTGTACTGTGTGCATAGGTAGTGTATGTGTGTGGAGGCTAATGGTAAACATTGAGTGACTTCTTCAATGCTCTTTGCCTTAGTTTTTGGAGACAGAATCTTCCACTGAACTCGGAGCTCACTGATTCTGCTAAGAAGCTAGCTGGTAGGCCTCAGGGGTCCCCGTCTCTGTTTTCCCAGTTTCATTGTGATCACAAGCATCTGCTGCCATGCACAGAACTTTATGTGGTGACTGGGATCTGAATTCAGGTCCTATACTTCCCCCTCTAGAGTTTATCCACTAAGCTGTCTCCCTAGCCCACTGTGTTTTAGATAATAAAACTGCTCCGAATATCTTAGAGTTTTTCCCTCATTGCTGTATCAGAAAACTGTCAAAAGGAACATAAGACTGGACGCGAGGAGTTCACACCTTTAATCCCAGCATCCACAGGGCAGAGAAAGGTGTCCTCTGCGTGTTTAAGTCTCGTCTGGTTCACATAGGGAGTTTCAAAGTAGCCAGGACTGCATAGAGAGACACTGTCTCAAAAAACCAAATCCCAGAAAAACACAAACACAAACAAAAGCAACTTAAGGAAAGTTTATTCTGGGTCATGGTTCAGGCTGTCATGCAGGAAAGTCATTGTGGTAGAAAATTGACAGAGCTGGTCCCATTCTACCCATAACCAAGCCATAGAACAACGGATGCATGCGTTCAGCCAGCTTTCTCCTAAGCTCCGGGGATGTTCCCACTCACAATTACGATGGGATTTCCCCACCACAGTTAATGTTAGAGGGATAATTCCCCCAGGCACACAAGAGGGCCATTCTCAGGTGATTTTAGACTCCACCAAGGTGACGATAGTAACCATCATGCCTATGTTTTCTTTTTGTGGAGAGCTCCCGATTGTTGACTTTAAAATTTAGGTCCAACAAATATGATGTAGAATAAAAGGACTGCTGAGTGTGTGAGAGAGAGGGAGGAAAGGAGACAGACAGAGTGAGAGAAACTGTTATTAATCTGACAACAGGAAAACAACTATACTTTTTGGTGGGGAGGACCTAAGGAAGTTCACTCGACTTGAGTGATGTGAACACATCTGTGCTCTTTCTTCCCATCTCTCTCTGTGTATCATCCTCTAATAGTCCTTGCTTGTGCTTTCTGGCTCACATATGCTTAACAACTCACGTGTAGCTAGTAAATAGTGTGAGGAGGCTTCAGATACTCCCTAGAACTTTTAAAGACTAGGATAGCTAGGAGAAAGCTGTTGACTTACAAAGCAGGGTTATCTGTGGGTCCTTTTTGGGCAACAACTTTGGAAGTCTTGGGGACTTCCGAGGGAAACCTTTCTTCTTTTCTGGAAACCTGAGTCTTACCTGGTATGGCTCAGGTGAGAAGTCACATGATGGCATGCTGGGCTTTGTATGAAGCGTGAGCCTGGATCCAGATATCCAGGAAGCACCTACTGAAATGAAGTGAGTTAGGATCTCTTTGTATCAATCACTTATGGTTACCCAAATCAAATAGGCAGTTTTATATAATAAAATCACATTAATTTTGATTTTAACAGTTGGGTATCTTAATAATGGGTTTTATGGGAGAAAAATGATTAAATCCAGTACAAAAAGATAAGGAAGATAAGGAAGCAGCATTTCCTCCCACAGCCCCTGTCACAAGCTTAGAGAACTCAGTTCAAGCCAACCCTACTTCTTATTGACTAAAACTGTATCATCAGATGGCAATGCAGCCTGCGGGGGATGTCCATCCACATTGTTTTCTAAGCTCTGAGTTGTTTACTGCCTGAAATCCATTGTGTGGTTCAGTGCCTGAAACCTGGGTGGCTCTCCATACATGAAATTACATACATTTCATTCATGAAATTACAATCTCCATACATACATTGTCATTGACTATTCTAGTAGGGAACAAGTAGAAATGGCCATTAGGTGATGGGCTATATACTAATACCTGCACACAGGTCTGTCAGACACCGCCCTCTCCTGAGGAAAGGGCCACCAACCTAAGACTGTGGAATAGGGAGAAAGGTTGAGAAGGAAGAATCTGCTTAGAGTTAGCAGAGGCTTCTAGACTGGGAAGGGGTACTGAAATCCTTATGTGGAAGCTAGAGGTGTTCTGTTCACCTTTGTGTTTGAGCTCCCCATGCTAGTTAGGAGAGCAAGAACGAAACCACAAACTGTCAGCTCCCAGTCTAGAAGTCCTTCTCTGCTCACCCTTTCTTGACAGCACAGACGTTGATCTCCCCTTTAAGGGGGAAGCTACAATGCAGTTAGAGGCCATCAGAGAGCATAGTTAGAGTCTTTATAAGAACCCTTGGATGGGCTGGAGAGATGGCTCAGTGGTTAAGAGCATTGCCTGCTCTTCTAAAGGTCCTGAGTTCAATTCCCAGCAACCACATGATGGTCCACAACCATCTGTATTGAGGTCTGGTTCTTCTGGCTAACTGCATACAAAATAAATAAATATTTTAAAAAAAAGAACCCTTGGAAAAGAATGCTCCTCATTCGGAAGGTTGGGGTCAGTTTTCAGGTAACTTCATAGTCGGAAAGAACTGAGGCAGTGAAGCCTCTGGCACAGCTTGACGCTTTGAATGCGTGGAGGAGATGCTGGTGTTTGTGTGCCTGTGAAGTCAGCCCCGAGAAACTCAACGAACAATGTGTTTCTGAACGAAGCAGGGATGTAATAACTGCACGTATTTTCTTCCAAAATCCCATTCATTTTTTTTTCAGCTCCAAACAATCACTAACGTCATGAATTTGCTCTTCCTTTAAAAGTAAGGTGCTTTTGGTTACCCATGCATAAGAATGACAGGAAAAGGCAGCTTAAATTTTCTGAGAATTTCATGAAAGCTTTTCATTGTGTATCTCTGTGCTAGTCACTCTTCTGAAATGGAGAAAAAAAAAAGTGTTTCTGAGAATTCAAAATCCCTTTATTCCAGCAGTCTTATGTTCTGTATCTGTAAAATTGGAGTTGCCCAAATGAGGAAGCTGAGAGTTAATTGACTATGTAGATGTATGAATTAGGAGAGAAAGAGAGAACAGGAAGAGGGATGATGGGAAAGACTTGACAAAGAAAAGCTGTGATTTTAAACAGTCGAGGTGGACTCAGTCATTCACTCAGTCAGCAAAGGGACGAGTGCATAAATGGTGAAGGAAGCGTTCTCAGTGAGATCCATAAACACATGAGAGAGAAAAGGAAAAAGAGACAGAGGAAGATAAGGACGTAAAGAAGTAAGGCAGAGAGGTAATCAAGCAAACTAAAAGAAGCAAAGAATTATTCTATAAGTGAATTACATAATACATAATACTCGGAAAACCCTTCTTGACACGTTACCCCTGTCAAGAAGCAAGCTTCACAAGTCATAATGAAAATCAATGGATAAAAATAAATCAAATCCCATATTTCTTAGAAAAATGGAAACCAATATGTCTCCAGAAATACCTGCATGCACTCCTTGTGTAAAAAAAGCCATTGTATTGAGTGTGCCGTGAGAGTCAGACATTGATCTAGTTTTCATTGGTTCTAGTGTATGTGTACACATATGTAAACGTGTGTGTGTGTGCATAAGACTGGGTGGGGGGAGGGTTGGGTTAAAGATGCTGAATTCCAAGTCGTCTATGAATTGGTGTTCTTATGAATTTGAATTTTACTTATCTGACTTTGTCTTTTTAGACTAAACACAGAAGGCAGCTCTGATTTTCACCCACTTCATCTCACACAGACGACTCCAGACATTAAGTGGAATTGAATTTGGGGAAAAATGCCACACATATAATAAAGACCGACTGGGCAATTAGATTTAAGTTCCCAGTTATCTAATTTTCAGAGTTCTACAGCAGACAAATTGCTTTGTTTTCTTTCTTCAAAATTCACAATATTTAAAAGGGAAAAACTAGCTGGGTGGTGGTGGTGCACACCTTTAATCACAGCACTGAGGAGGCAGAGGCAGGTGGATCTCTGTGAGTTCAAGGTCAGCTTGGTCTACAAAGTGAGGTCCAGGACAGACAGGGCTGGTACACAGAGAAACCTTGTCTGGAGAAACCAAACCAAACAAACAAACAAAAAACCAAAAAAAAAAAAAAAAACCCAAACTATAGGGCAAGACAGTGAGAGAAATAAATCTTTTACAGGTATTTGAGAGTTCTCAGAGAATCCTTTTTCTCCTGAAGTCAGTTTTCAACTGAGGAGGAGTGTTTATCAGCAGTCTTCACCCTTGATGTTAAGTAGAGGGTTACGAGAGCTTGGCAATGCAGAATGCACTCCGTGAGGTGTGACTCACTCAGATACGATTTGTGTCTTATTTCCACAGAGCATCTTCTAGGTTCTTTTGTACACAAACATCCCATTTCCTGTCTGTTCTGATATTCAGGATAGACACTGAATTAGAAAAGGGAGATCTTTCATTCATCCACCCAGGCTCTGAGGCAGTGACAGACCGAGATGCTATCTGCCAAGGAAGCCTTCTGCTGCTACACTGAGATCTGGAGGTGCAAGGGACCAGGGCTGGTCAGAGAAGAAAATGTTCTGTTTTATTCTTTTTCTCCCTCTCTTATTTGTTCTCTCTCCACTGGAGTGGCTGCTGTCACACTGCAGGGTGGTCTCCTTGTCCTTCTTTCACTCTCTACTGCAGGAGGACCATGTTGTTTTCTATTCTGTGCTACCCAGTCCTCCATGAGACCACGACACCCGTTTCTCTGCCTTGTTGTGTGTGCTGAGAGGATAACTAATGTTAGACATGCACCTCTCACCAGCAAGGCCATTGCGAGAAGGTTCCTTCTGGCATCACGTCTCCTGCTGGCTCACCTTTCCTCTCTTTTCATGCCCAATTCTATTTATTACCTTCTGGGGACTGTTTCGGACTCCCTTCCTTCTGCCATGGCCTTTCAACCCAGTCTTTTGCTGAAGTAAAACAGAGGCAGTCACTGTTGATTGTGCTCATGCAAGAGCTCTATTTGATTTGGGGGCTGGTAGGTACAGTCCTCTTTGGATGGGACTTCTCTGAGACAAGCTTACCATTCAAGTAAGGGCCCTGATAATCAGGATAACTTTACTTATTCATTTTCTTTGAGAAGTCTTTCCAGGAGTGTAATGTTGGGGGCAGATTTCTCAGTGGGTAATGGACACTGTTCCTGAGCACCCTTCCTCTGTGTGAGAGAAAATGTGTCAAAAACAGCACATTGGCACACAATTTCCATCTGACCTTAAAATGATATGAAGTTTGGAACCTTAATTAATAGAAAAGATGCAGCTTTAAGATATTTTCCACTCTTGCTCTTGTGACCTGCCTGAGAAAAACCCAGCCAAATTTCCAACACAGGTGGGGGAGGTTATTTCCTCCAAAGCTCCACCTCAATTGGAGGAGATATTGGCAGTAGATAGTTGCTGAGTGAGAGAGAATTACTATTTGATTTGAGGCCTCTAGTAAGGTTTTCATGACATAATGGACGGCCACATTCCTATGTACACATGGATAACACTAACTGAACTCAGTGTTGTTAAAAACAACAAAAAATAAAGAGGGTGTTTGGGGGAGAATGTGGTGTGGTCAACTGGGGGAGTGGGATTAAGGTGATGGTGGATGAATGTGATTAATATATATGGAATAAATGTATGGAAATGTCAAAGAACAAAAATATTTAAAAATGTATTTCTACTCTATATTGAAAATGAATTATTTCCATAACTATATATGTATCTTTAAACCAGAATGACAATAGGAATCAAGGTGGGTAAGGCTAAGTAATTTACATATACCAATTTCACACAATAAATACACAGATATTATAGGAGATTTATGACTTACTTTATGGTTTTACACATCAAAAACACTTAAAACATATAACTGCTTTATTTACCCAAATGTCCCACTTTACTTTTCTATAACTGTTTTCTTTATTCTTTTATGATATTTTAGTTGTTTATCTGTTCATTCCTGTCTCACCTGTGGGATATACAAAGACGGGCTTTGCTTGTTCATTGTGACTATGTCTGTAACACTAGAACCTACTTACTTAGTAGGTACCCAAAAACTTTGAATATTTTGTACATACTGCATATGCATGAAGAGTGATCAATATATGTATAGGATGAACAAACACAAGCACACACATATGTACATGGTAAGTAAGTAGACAAAGGGACTTCAAGAGTATTTGGAAGGTTAGGGAAAGAGTAGGGATTAAAAGCTATGTGGTAAGATTTTACTCCATAGTTTTCTTGATATAACTCTATGTAGGGTTCCATTCTGGAAATGACTATATGGTATCACCTCTCTTAAGTCAAATTGGCTAGTATCAAAAAGGCAAGCTAAGCAAAACAACAAACAAATGTTGTTGAGGCTGTAGAGAAGCACTGTTTTGGTCAATGGCTTAGTAGAATAAAACCAGGCAAG